GACAGGTGGAAAATCAATGCAAAAATGGGGAAAAAATGGACTAGTTTCTTACCCTTGTAGTCCTCTTCAACAATGGTGCCCCAATGGCCTCCTTTGGCTCCAAACCAGTCAAGAAACTCAAGAACAAGCCCTTAGAACCCTAGTTTCAAAAGGAAGGTGAAACACTAGGTGTTTGTGTGCAATAGTGAGACACAAAACACTTAGTGAACAAAATGAGAGGGAAAGAGAGATAGAATGTGTATCTCACCCAAACCCTAGAACAAGAGCTCAACAATGGCTGTTTTGCTCTCCAAAATATCTTAAGTGTCTAACCTTGTCTCTCTTTTTGCCTTAGAGAGAGCCTCTCTCTATATGTCTCTTGTAAAGCTTACAAGACAAGCTTTGCAAGAGGGAGATCCCTCCATATGTATGGAGGGGAGCAAAAGCAATACAGCTATCTAAAAATATCTGCAAAAGCAGATGAACAGCAATCGGCCGGCCAAAAATACCATCTTGGCCAAAAGGAGTGCCAACCGGCACAAAATAGTGCTGACCGGCAACAAACAGTGCCGGCCGGCAAACTAAATTGCCGGTGGAGACAAAAACCAGCCGGTGGCCTCCAGCCACTGCCGGTGATGGGTGTGGATGGTCTACAAGCCCTACCCTGCCTCTCAAAGGCAAGATGCAAGTGTTTGGTGCAAAACCAGACACTAAAAGGTCGAATTCGGGGATCCTGAGGCATGGCGCGTGAGCCGAGACCTCCGGGAACTCCAAACGAACACAAACATGGAAGATCACCGAGTGTTCAAACGGTGACGTCCAAGTCTTGAGGACGGTCAAAAATGGGGTGTCTACAGACGGTTTTGAAGAAGTCTTAACTGTTGGAGAAGATGAAAGTTGGACTCTCGTGAGACAAAGGAAGTCAGGAAGAAGCAAGTCTAAGATGCAACATTTTTCACTCAAGAAAGTAAATCTAAGAATATTATACAATATGAATTATAAATGAGTGTTTAAGACTTGCCCCCATACCCATACCCAACTTTTGGATGCATATTCCAATGCTCTACAATTTAGGTTTAGAAAGAATTGATGCTTGAACATGCACTCGCACCTAATACTCGAACTCGAGTCCATGTACAATACAGGGCAAAGTTGAACAACCTAACATCAGTTACATGATATGAAGTTGGTATAGTGCATAATCAAGAGAAGTTCAGATACAACAATAACATAATGGCAGTATAAAGCTAAGGTTTGACAATCCATATCTTGGATTACAAGATAGTGACAGAGATCCTTAAAATAGGTCAATAAAAAAAGGAAGACAGATGAAGATACAATTCTGCAAATTATTGGCACATGGTCTTGATGTTTTTAAGAGAGAAAAAATGAAACACTGGATATTGAGGGAACAAAAGTGGGAAATTTTAAACTCCACCATTTCCGCTTCACAAATTAAATAGAATTTCAATATAGAATGCCATATGTATTAGTAAAACCAAAAGCATGGCATGGTGGAACCATACTCATCCTGAATTGTATGAGTAAATGGTTGAAAGGCTTATGGACTCACTCAGTCTATGAAATATATTAAAAATTTTAGATGTACATTTATAAACCATTTGATGCATGTGCACATAGTGGGGAAAAAAAAAGAAGTGAGGGTGGGGAGGGAAGACACAATATAGAGGCCAAAAGGCAAAAGAAAACCTACAGAATCAGCCTTAAATAGTTGCTTGTTTGTGTGTGTGTGCGTGTGTGTGTTTGTGTGTGTGTGTGTGTGTGTGTGTGTGAGAGAGATAGAGAAAGAGAGAGAGAACACCAAGTATCAGCCCACTTAACCAACCAAACTTGATAAACCTATTCTCAGTTCAATTCCTAGATCTAGTTTCACCATGCAGCTGCTAGTGATGTTGCATCCTGGCTTAAGAGACTCTATACAAAGCACCTTTCATGATTTGATAGGTTATCTTTTTGATGCATCTTATATTTAAGAGTGACAACTATCCAGTCTATTTAGTAGAGCTTCAAGGTAAATACTGTGGTTCCTATCTTACCAAAAGCATGAGAACAGATAGAACATTAGCTAGATTAAACTTAGCAAACAGTCAGGGAAGTTTTAAATCTCTCAAAATGTCTACAGACGGTTGAACTAATAGTTTAAAGAATATAGAAAGGTATCACCAAACAGATGTCGATGCCCGAGAGAGTCTGAAGATACACAATAGTTATTTTCTTCAGGTCAAGGCACACCACCAGTGAACCAACATTAAAGTTTAAAAATTTACAATAAATAATGGAATGCGTTAATACAAGTAATAACTCTAATTGAAGATAGAATATGTAACTTGGAACATGAGACATAACAATAGAGTAACTATAAGAAAATGCAATAGAGGTTTATTTGCCTAGACCTCATGATGTAGAAGCAAATTAAGGGAGGTACAATAAGCTTTTCTGAATGGACCCAAGCAGTTCTTGTCAAGACTTTACAAATGCAAAGGAAACATGGGCATTCAGAGAAATAGAATAAATAAGAAGATGAAATAATTTTGACAAGATGATCCCTCCAGAAACAATCTAGAGTGCTTCTTTGATAAATAAGAAGGTGAAATAATAAGAAGACTTTTGATAAATAAGAAGATGAAATAATTTTGATAAATAAGAAGATGAAATAATAAGAAGATGAAACATGGGCATACAATAAGAAGACTTTACAAATACAAAATTATGAACTATACTGCCGAACTGAGCCTGTTCATGTTGACAAGATGATCCCTCCAGAAACAATCTAGAGTTTTCACAAGAACTGCCCTCTGCATTCCACAAGAAACACAAAAAGTGAAAAATAATTTTTTTAAGTCAGTAAAATGATTACGAGTCAATTTTGGGGACTGAAAGTGTCTGTGAAAGATATTCATGTGCAAGAAGAGTTGGGGAATAAAAGAATTGATTTAAAATTCTCATCTTCAAAGATAACAATGCTATTCACTTAGATGAGAGAGGCCCCAAGTGGTGATGTAAATTCACCAAATACATATATATTATATCAATGGTTTTTAGGTCTAACAATTACAATAATTGAAATTTTATTATTTTCAGGTAGACCTAGAGGTATCCTGCGTGTGTTCACGGATGGTTAGGTCATACTAACAAGCAATGCCCAATCTGATCCCTATTTATCAAAAAAAGAAAAAGTAAAGAATCTGATCCATCACCTAGAGAATGCATAGGAAGGATGTTACCTCTATTTCCTTCATATATGCATCATCATACCCAGATTCTTGTACAACATCCAAATATGAAGCAATTATAAAATCTCCAAGGTACTTGCGGAGAAGATTAACAGTTGGTCGGTACTTTCCATCTCTGCATTAATTGGTCCCAAAATTATAAGTTGCCGCATAAAAATTAAAAGCCAAATGAATTTCTTCATTATATCCTAATATACAACACCAAGGAATTAAGAATGCACTCACTTAGCTGAATCATCTGAGCATACGGCAAGCCAATGTTTCAATGAGGAGCTCTTCCTACATATTCCTCTGAAGGCATTTGGAGGTGAGGGCAAGTTTGGAAGGTGAAAATCGTTAATACTTACAGAACTTAACTCATGAAGCTGTGTGAGGGATTCCCGTAAAGCTACCTCTGTAATTGCCACAAATGAGTCTGTAGAAGATCCATTCCTTGATGATTTATATAGATCATCTAACTCAAAAAATATGCAAGATTACAGAACAAAATGACAATTTACAAGCTCACCATTCAATATCTTCCCTGAAATTCCATTGAACTCCTTCAAGAGCTTTCCCAAATTCCACTTGCTTGGATGCTATAAGACAAATAAAGTGATTCATAATCAGAAAAATGTAGACATCCATATACCATACTCTAGGCGGAAATTTCTACCTACCTTCAGTGGATCAACATTTCCAAAAATGATTTCATCTACAACAGCTTGCATGTACCTATAATTAATCTGTTAGTACATTCAAGATAATGACAGTGCTCATAATGATGTACAACAATGATTATGCCATCCAATTGAAATATGGCATGGAAAATGGAACGTAGCTGTCAAAAAATGAAACGACTTGAATGTATGTATGACTATAGGGGAAAAGAAGAAGACTACAGACATAAACTTAGTCCTGTAGTTCGAATGAAGTCACACCTTGTTTCCTGCAATTTTAATATCAACAATTTTAACCTCACTTTTAGGCGATTTTAAATGTGGTCCTTCCATCTGGACTCTGGATCCGGTAGGAATCCTGACAGAAAATGACCATGTACATGGCATGCCCCTTTTTTAGAAGGGCAAAATTGTCATTTTTACCCTATTCCTCCATTTAAGCCTGTTTCTCTCACCTTATTCATCAGTTCCTATAACATCCTAGGTGTCACCATTGCATGAAGAAATATGAAATTTTTAAAAGCATGCTTTGTTAATTCTTTGAGACATGTTATAGAAACACTTGCTTCTTTGAATAATTTATATTTCATGCTCACTTGACATGCATTATACAAAGACTTAGAAACATGAGACAGCAAGTTTTCTTTTATGCAATGCTATGTATGTATATATCGCTTCTATTGAAGTAAAATATATGTCAAATAAATACTTCACTAGGATAAATACCAGTATGCCAATCACACTTTTTCCGAAAGAACTCACAATGCAAGCAGATTTACTACCTGGACAGTAATAAACTTTCATGCATAAATAGAAAACAAAGGAGCATCCATCAGTATGATAATGCATGCATACAAAGTAAATGCATCATACTTGATTGATCTACTTGAATACGAAGCACAAATTAAATCACAAGGTAGGAAGGGACTCACTGGAATATGTGTTGTGAACAACTTTCGGAATCACCTGTTAAAATTAATTGCCTAAGGTCATAAACATGTTTTCTTTGCACCTGTCAGAAGAAAAACCAAAATTTTCTCTCTTAGAACAATTTAAACCTATGAAACAATTTTAGATCTAAAGAGACATTCATTTTGCTAATCAGTTAATATAATATTTAGATGAAATTGACAATGAATATGGAATTTGAAATTTTAATTTTAGAAGACTCATTTAAATTTGAATACGCATACTTCTAAATTGCAACAATCTCTCCTCATCCAAGTAGCGAAGCGTGTTCTTTTAAATGATTCTCCATCAAAACCTTTAAATTCGATGAATCTTTAAGGTTCACAAACAAGGTTAATTCATTAGACATGAATTAGGTGGATGTTTATGGAAAAGACAGTTCAAAGTAAGTAGTGGCTATGGTGCTGGAGGGTGGACATCTAGGGAAGTAAATAGTTCCTATGCAATGGTTCCATGGAAGGGCAAAAGAAAAGTATGTCAAGTTTTCCCAATAATATGAGATTCAGCCTTCAGGATTGCTGACTAGAGACAAATTAGATTTGGGCATGATGTGAATGGGTATTATCCGTGCACCATGACTTTTCCAGATTTGTGTGTCACTAGCAAGAACAAGAATGCTTGGGTGGCTGACTATTTGAGGAGTTAGGGAGCTACTTTTTTGTACGGGCAATACATGATTGAAATTTGGGATAATGGATGAGTTTTTTGAAGCTCTGTACAGGGTGGACGTGGCTCATAGAGGAGAATAGGATGATGTGAAAAAAAATAATAAGAGATTTTATATCATATTTTCCCACAATACTGTAGGAGTGTGTGTGGACAAATCTTTCCATTGGAAGATTATTCGGAAGGTGGGCGCTACATCTAATGTGACATTTTTCGTTTGGACAACAATGTAAGAACTCTATATAAATAAATAAAAAAACAACGCCCAATTAGTACACATTAATGTGTGCTTGGGAGGGGAAAGATTGGGTATAGATCTAACCTTTGGCATAGTACATAAAGCAGTTGCCCTGTGACTTGAACCCATAATCTCAAGGTCACCCCTAATGTAAGGACTCTATACTCACCATTAATAATATGGGGGAAAAGGGCAGATATTACCAAATTGGTGTTGTATGTGTCAAAGAGCTGAGTCGTCCATGGATGGTGGATCCCTTTTCAATTCATTGTGAGGTAGCAGGGGAGCTATGGAGTAATCTATTTTCTATTTTTGGAGTCTGTTGTGTTATGTCATCATCAGTTCAATTGATGCTTAAATTTTAGGCAAGAGGGTGCAGAATGCAAGGGCTTAAGGAAAGTATGGATGATATCTCCTATTAAGTGTTATGTGGTGGATTTAGAGGGCATAATAGCAGCAGAACTTTGACGATGTTGCTTTGCCAATACATAGATTGAAGACTGTTTTGACGCAGACTTCCAATTTTTGGCCATCAAGGAAGTTTCATAGTAATCATCTTTTATTTTGATCAATTTTATAGAACAGCTTGTGCTTTGCATACTTTCAATGTATAGAAATTGTGCCCTTTTTTACACTTTCCGTGAATAATATATCTACTTAGAAAAAAATAAACAAGTTGTACTAAGCACTACAAATACGGTGTTTTTATTTTCAAGTACATACCTCCAGCACTTCATCGAACTCTACCAGGCTCTTCCTTATGCCAAAAAAGTATTTCTCAGCATTAATTTGCAGAGCCAAAAGCTGAAAGTTTTGTCATGTTTCAAGTTTGAAGTAAGATCACTTACAATCCAAAACAAATAAAAATAACAATATTATTGAGTTAAAAAGAAAAAAGAAAGAAAGAATACCTGCTTAACAATTGCATCACCTTCCCAAATCTTAATCAACGGCGACTAAAATATTAGTCGCTAAAAGTACTAATTTGGCGACTAATTTTTTTTGGTTGCTGAAAATAAGGTTTTCGCGACCAAATTTTTGGTCGCCAAAAAATATGTGACCTTTCGCGACCAAATTTGTAGTTGGTCGGCAAAAGTATACCACTTTTTGCAACCAACATATTTTTTGGTCGCCAAAATATAACCTTCTGCGACCAAAAATATTTGGTCGCCAAAAATAATGATCATTTGCGACTAATTAAAATTTGGTCGCCAAATGTCATTTTTTTGCGACAAAAATTTTTTTGGTCGGCAAAAGTGGTCGCAAAATGTGTAAATTCTTGTAGTGCTCGTTTTCAGAAACACTAATGATTATCACATCTCAATAAGTGTCTATAAAGAAATTTTAAAATATGTAAAAAGTTTTTAAAAAATTATAAAATTCTTTGAAAAATATATAAATATATTGATTTTTTTTTTTAAATATGTTCCTCTTCCTATTACAGTTCATTGTAATTTTTTTTTTTAAATTTTTGGTTTTGATAACTCAATATCTGACTTATTGATTCGACTAATCCGAAAACAACAATGATAGAAATCTCCTTTTTTGGAAACCCCCACAATCCCTAAAGTGATCCACACCACTCATATGTAGGCTTCACACATACATGAGTGGTGTAGATCACTTTGTGAGTTGTGAGGATCCCTAAAAAAGGAGGTCTCACTCATTTTCCATCCGAAAATCACACGTTTTAATGTCAAAAATAAAGCCTCCCTACTGCAAATTTTGAAAAATTCACAATCTCAAGAACCAAACTTAAATAATAATATGTCGTCGTTTGGCATGTCATGTTTTCTGATTTTTTGACTATTTTAGTCACAAAAAGATAAAATAGGTTTTTTAACCCAATATGACAAAACATCACATTTAATCCATAATCATTTCATTTTTTTCTCACAAAAGTAAAAAAAATCAAAAAATATATCCCGAACGAGACTTTTTAGCACCAAACTAAAATAGTAAAAAAAAAACTAAAAAGTCAACCCATATCCAAACGAATCCAAATTATGTCAAAATTTTCTAAACATTAAATACAAACATGTATAGATTGGCTTCATTTTTTCAGGCAAAGCAAAGCCCAAAGCCACCATTGCTTCCTATCTATAAGTACACAACTCAAAAAATAATGAAAAGGAAAAAGAAAAAGAAAATATGCAGAAGACTGCTCAAGATAGTTTTCTTGGTCATCCTTGTGGTTACTGTACCTGGTTACTATCTTTTCATATCTATTCAAATAATCCTTATGTATACACTTTAATAATATGTTAAAAAACACATTGATTAATTATTGAATTTTTATGTCAAAGGTGTTAGTAGCCGAAGCAAGAGTGCCGGAGGGATGTTCTGCTTCAAATGACTGTGATGGCTTATGTGGAGGGAGCGGCGACTGTGTCAATGGCATCTGCACATTCATAGGGATGCAGAAACAGCGTGTCGTCGAAGCCGTCCCCAATTTAAGTTGTTCCAACGACAGAGACTGTCAAATGCGTTGTTCACCTGTTTGCTACTCCAAAATATGTGTTTAGGGAATGTGCCAATGTGTGTGTATTGATTGAGAAGAGTATGGATGATAAATTATTGTGGAACAAAAATAAAGTTAATTGAGAAAACGTTCAATCATATGGGTTATATGTTATTTGGTCTAAGGTTTTATATTTTTTAGTGATAAAAATATGCATTGAAAAGTCCTTAGTGCCAAAAATGTTGCTGGTGATGATGAGGTGAATAGATATGTGATGTATATACATGTAAATAAAATTTAAACAGATAAGTGACACGTCTATAAATAAATGACATTTTGAACAAATAAGTACATTTTGTCCTTTTGGACACAATATCATTTTGATCCGGGAAGAAAATTCAGAATTGAACCTAAAGTGTCCATAAAAATATTGCTTGTAGTTATATCTTTTTGTACCTTACAATGACAAACTTATTTGTAATTGTACACGTGTAAACTAAAATTGAATAATTTTTACACATAAATTCAAGCTAAATAAAAATCAAGGGAATATGTTTAAAGGTTTTTTGCCTGAATGAAAAGGACTTTTTAAAAGTGAAAATAAGAACCAATTAGAGAGTATAAGTATGCAATAACAAAAGAATAAGACAAATGTAATTGATCACTAAACTTCTTCAATTACAATGAGAGAATTTGAAGTTACGTCACATTGACTCCTACTTCAGTAATTTTTTTTTTTAATTTTTAATTTTTAATTTTTTTTTAATGTGGTACTCCTATGAAATGGTAGGACAAGGCAGTAATGAAAAGATAAAGAAATATGCTTTGATGTGGTTTGGTCCGGGATTTTTATTTTCGGTTGAACTGTTATTTATAGATGTAACAATACATTGTTGAAGATTGGCTCAGATTTTCAACGATGACTGCTGATTGAAGAAAAAAAATGAAGAAGTTGGACATTTGCAGCCGAGCTACTCATGGTAGAGTGGCTAATCTTGTTGGTTGTTGGTGGTTGCCTTCAATGAAGCCTGCAGCTTGGCTCTCCCATTACATCTATAAATGTGTAGTGAATGGAAAGAGTTTTGTGTGGTGAGTTGAAGAAAGAATACAAAGCAGAGAAAGAAAATTAAAGAGTGTGTAATTCTTTGTTCCAAATATAGTGAAATCCGCTGCCCGTGGACGTAGGCGATTTGCCGAACCACGTAAATCTTTATGTGTTCTTGCTTGTGTGTGATTGTTTTCTACCTCCTAGGCACAACAAATTGGTATCAAAGCATTGTTGTGCGAAAAACAGAACAATTTAAACTAAAAATTTTGAAGTTGTCGATATCAAGTTTTCAGCCTACTAGGACGACCGCCTCGACGAGAGGAGTTCAGACCCAAAAAGACCAATCCACGAGGACACTTCACGTGCCCTCATATGCTTGCCGAAGTTTTGCCGGAGACTAGTCGGAAAGGTTAGTCCGGCAAAGAAGCAGAGGTTGAAGAAGTCAACCTGTCCTAAAGGCTATAAGTACTCATTTGTGCACAAACGCAACACAAGTTAACACTTGGCAGAGTGGTTAGAGCCTTGGATCCGAGCCTTGAGGTCAAGGGTTCAAAACCCACTACAAACAAATTTTCAAATTGTTTTTGGAAGCTGCCATGTCAACGGCACGTACTGCCACATATGAAGCCACGTCATCAATAGCTCAACCGCTACGCCAGCGCCACGTCATCACACGTGTCCGACACGTCAGCGCATCTGCCACGTCATCATCCTAGTCAGCCAAAAATCCTAAAATTATAGGGAGGCCCTTGAAAGTTTGGTAAATTACATTTTAGTCCCTAATCTCGCTAAAATTGTAATTTAATCCCTAAAACTTCTCTAAATTGCAGTAAGGTCCCTAGAGTTTTGGAAAATTGTAATTTGGACCCTGGATTTGAAGAAATTTCATTGAGTGAGGTGGAAAAAGTGCTTTCCTAGCTAAATCAATCGTTTCGGGCACAATCACGGATTCCATTTTTTGAGATTCGGGCCTAAATTTCAATGAAGTTTCGGGAGCTTAGAATTTGCCGTGTTGTGGGTATTTTAAGCGTCCTTTATTGTTTGTGGTAGAGATTATTGAGCAGTCTCAATAGAAGAATCTACAGAGACGAGATCAATCGAGTCCGCAAGTAACCCAGCAACTACAAGCAACTCTAGGTTTTGGACCACGGTGTCCCATACTAAGTTCGAGGTAGAAAAGTTTGATGGAAGCAGCAACTTCGGCATGTGGATATGAAAAGTTGCAGATATGCTTCTCCAGATGAACCTGCATTTCACTCTGGGAGACAAACTGTAATAACCCTCACCACAGATTGCTAATAACCCTACTGATTACTGCTAAACTGAGACTGATTATGATAATTGACTGAATTAACTGAAATCACTAAACTGATTGATTGATTGTACTAGTTTGAATGCATATCTATCTGTTGACTGTTAAACTATCTGTTCATTTTTTTTGCTTTAAACTGTAAATTGAAGGCCTTATCGGCGGCCGAATCTGAAATTGATTAGTGATATGTGTTAATCATAATTTATGTGATTTTATGGTATATTTATTTGTAATGTGATTTGGTATGGTTAAATTAGATCAAATATTGATAAAATGCACCACTTGGACTTATTTACTATCTTGCCATTTAGTGGCCCATTAAATGGAACATTTGGAGCCTTTGATACACATCATTCTTGTTCATCTTAGAGAGGGGCCAAACCGTAGGAGATAAGTGAGAGAGGGAGAACTTGGCTTCAATTGAGAATTGGCTAGAGAACTTGAAGAAATTGTAGAGGATTTGTGCAAATTGAGTTTCTACACTTGAATACAAGACTTAAGGTAGAGTAATTACCTTCTTGATTGTGTATTTGAGTTGATTCTTGCATGGTTCATGAGCCTCTAGTGATTTAAGCCTAGAATTGGTCCTTATATGTTGAATTGAAGCTCATTCCATGCATGCATGCTTATATCCTAGCATTTTGAGGTTAACTACATGGAATTTGGTACATGCATGTTCATATTATTGGTATAGTCCATGATTTCATCATTTTTGAAAAGAATTGGCTCAATTGAGCTAGCTTTTGAAGCTTTGTAGTTGTCGAATTTATACATGTTACACATTCATCATGTTCTTGAAATGTTGGTTGAAATTGGGTTTAATTCCCTCACCTTTGGGCCTTGATTTTACAAATTGAGCTTTGAATCATGCCATATTATGTATTTACAAGTGTTTTCCAGGAAATGGGCCCAAAGGAATCGAATTTGTTACATTTGAAGTTGAATTTGAGCTTGAGATTCAAATCTGGGAATTCCATATTTTGAGCTCACGCTCGAGCGGGGTGACTGGCGCTCGAGCGTGAAATTCGTTCTCCCAGCACTTTGCACTGTTTTACAGTCTGCTCGAGCGGGGTATTGGACGCTCGAGCGAGGACTTGTGTCACACACTC